TTGTAAAATTGTATTAAATTACATAATAATAACTCAGTAGTAAGTATATAATTTAATCATCAATTATTTAAGCTTAAGAGATTTTTTTAAGTGACGTTTCTACTTAAATAATTTAATAATAGGTCAATTCACTATAATATTAAAGCTTTAATATCACCAATTTTGCTCTGCTGTACTTGTTTGGTATTGTACGACATGGGTCAGAGACTAGACAAAAAGAGCACTGATGATTTTTTTAAGTATTTTACATGGATTTAGAGAAAAAGTATTAAATATTGATTTATTTTATCATAAATTATTTTGTTAGTATAAAAAAATTTGTTTATAATGTATACCAAGTTTAATTTATATGTTTTATCAATTAATGATAATTCTATCTTCTTTAATGATTCTTCTGTATTTATTGAAAATTCTTCCATTAAATCATTATATAGATCAATTTCTAGAATAGAATTGGTTAGAACAGTAGAATTTGAATGTGTCAGATTTTGTACACGGTCATCAAGTTTCCTTATGTTTACTTTTATGACTGCAAGCTGCCTTAAAACTACATTTTTGAATTCTAGAACACCATTAACAAATAAAAGGTTTTTAAAGCTTGTAAAATAAATCATTCACATAAAATTATGAATGTTAATCCAATATTAAATTTAAAAAATTAACAAGTTACAGCATCTATTGAATTGATTTGAATTATATAAACTTTTGTTAATAAAGTAGGTGTAAACAAATTATTTTAACACTTACCAGCATCACTTAAACTGCAGGCTTTTTTTTTCCGTTTCACATTCTCTAATTTTGTTGTATCCAATATTGAATATTCAAGTGCCCTCTTTTTTTTTGCTTGTAGGAGTATGATTTACTGCTATATAATAACAATATTAAATATAGTTAATTATTATTTATAATTTTGTATACTTTTACTATTTATAAAGTTATATTATGATTTTGGAAATTAGAAAAATAATGTATTATGGTCATAATAATTGATTAACATTATTATATTTATAATTATTTGTTTCACTATATAGTTAGTTTAATATACGCCAAATTAAATATTATATACTGTTAAATTATAGTTTATACTATTCTTMCCATGACTGCCATACTCATGTCCGTTGTTGACATTTTGCAAAAGATTTTTTGAATTTTCTGGATTTTCATCTGTTATATCTAGTTCATCTGAACTTATAAAAGATCTATCGCTTGACATTGATTCCTCAGATGAAATATATAATGATGACCATGGTTTTGGTTTATTATGTACTGAAGATGGAGTTGAAGACTGATGGGTTGCAATATGAAGCTTAGATGCAGATGATTTATTCAAATTATTATTTGATGCTGTAGGTGGTTGAGGCAGAGGTTTAATGCTGACTTTTGTTGGATTTAGTTCCTCACTTGAACTTGATGAAAATTTTTTCTTTCTCCTGTTTTTACGACTTTTTTTTCTTTATCGACATCACTTGTTATATCTGTATGATCTTCAGCCTTTTTTAATTTTTTTAATGCTTTTTCAAAATTATCTATAATTTATAATTATTAATATTCTGATTAATAATACATTATTGTATTTTAATACTAATGAAAATGAACTCTTAAAAAAAAATATTTACCATACTTTCCAAGAACTATGAGTACATTGTAAATAGACCAAGTAATAGAAGATGAAACACATTTTTTTACATCTTTGAGGTATTCTTTATTTGATTTAAATAGTCCATTTGGAGGCCAGTAACAAGTTTTTTTGTCTGAAGATACCCAACAATCTGGTACTATTTGTACTGTATTGTCGTCAAATTCCAMAATATCCCACATATTTTGTAGAACTTTGTAAAAACTTTTAACAGAYCTAATCAACAAATGAATAGTATTTATAAGATATCACATTGTAAAAATAAAAAATACAATTAAAATAATAATATGTACAATATATATATATATATATAGGTAATAAGAATAATTTGTTGAAAATAGTGATATTTTCACTGCAAAGCAGTACAGTCACTATGTAATATTGGAAATACGGCCAACATGTTTTCACAGCCATCATGATTCCATGGTAATGTTAGACATTTATACTTAATGTTTTTTACTGGCCAAATCTYTATATTTGAAGATAAATTTTTTACCAAATAGCAATCAATTATTGACGATTTACATGGAGTTTGGTAAATATCACAATAATCTATAAACCGTTTACYAAGAATAACCATACATTTCATTTTTTTGTCATAAACAAAATTACAAATAGCTACAACTATGTTACTTTCTTWAATCATGCAATAATTATCTGGATTAGAAATTGTTATTATAGAATTATTTACTTTTGCTTTTTTAAATTGTTTATCWATGTCGGTAGTGTTTAAAACAATACCATTGACATGTTTTTTATAAAAATCATTACTTTTTACAGGCACATATGATATATTTGTMATTTCTTCACTATATCTTCGATGAAGCTGTTGTAGTGGATTAGCAGATTTTCTTAATTGTCTTTTGAGTAGTCTAAGACAATTTTCAAATTCAAATGCGCTGAAATTATCCAAAGGTCCCAGGAGTTTTGCATCTTCTACTAAATGTATTAGCCCATGGACATTATGGGATACATAATGCCTTCCATATGAAGTGATAAATGTTTCAACAAAATGTTCTATTAACAATTTTGCATAATCAGAATGTAAATCCAATAGTTTTTGAGAACATAAAATTCRCATGGAAWCATGTAATGTTAAGACATGTTCATACACTTGAGGATGAACAACTCCAAGTAAAACAACAGGACAGGTATATAACAACWTTTGCCGAAGTTCAGTAGCTTTCCATTTTCCCAAGTTCCCAATATCTTGAGGACGCCGAGCAAAATCATTAGTAATATGACGTCTCAAATTTATCAAATTGTTGTTTAAGGTAACAATTTTACAGTGTTGTAAACGTACTATTGGGCATTCTGGTTTTCCATTCAACCACATGTTTATAACTTTCTTAAATATGCCAATACAAACTAAGTGCATATAGTCAAATGGTATCTGCGATATTGGTTTAAAATTGGGAATATTTAAAAGAATAGGGATACCTTGATGATAATCATCATATTCTTGTCTTAAGAATCCATCATCAGTTTTTAAAATAATATTTTGAACTTCAGGGAAACATATACGATTGCTTAAAAATTCTCCTTCTAGACAACATTTAGAACAACTATTATACCCAGTATGTCCTTTTGTTTTGGTGATAAACGATTTTGCTGGTGCATCACAAACAATACATATGTTTGTTTGCATCGCCAAACGACACCGTCACAATAAGCTGTGCTAGGACACAATTCTAAAAAGTGTCCTTTATTACATTTTATGACATTATTTTTTGCAATAAGGCCCCAGGACTGTAAAACACTTATAACCGACATGGACAGATGGCCACTCGTTTTATGTTCAAATATTTCATAAATTTCAATGATCGATGTCATTTTAAATTTTTAACAAAATAAAATTAAAACT